CAGATTTAGTGCACGCAAGCCTGCTGTGGGACGTACAGGGCTTCTACGATTCCTTGTCGTGGGAGCTTGTGCTTTTCAAGGCGCTTGCATTAGGTTTCCCAGCAATTTACTTAGCGCTCGAACTTCAGATGCACATGTCGCCCAGGTTTTTGATGGAAGAAGGATGTTTTTCAGAAGCGATTCAACCCAGTATGTCTCTCATCCCAGGCTCGACAGGAGCTGTGGACCTAGGCAGGTGTGCGCTCTATTTCATGTGTGAGGAAGTGGCCAGATGCCCTCCTCCAACGCCAAGCCTCCACACCTGGGTAGACGACATCGTACAACGTTGTGAGGCACCGAGGCAGAGGCTTGTGGACATACTTTTCAAGGCAGGACAACAGCTGGTAAATGGTCTGCAGGCAGTCAGTTTGGCGACGGCAGATAAATCGTGCGTCATCTCATCGTGTCCCCAGACGGCTAGTGAACTGGCCCAGCGCTTTGCAGCAGCAAACATCAGCATCCAGGTGAAACCGAATGCGCCAGATTTAGGATTGGACCGTGGCAGAATAGCAAAACGTAGACCCAAGCAGGCAGCGAGATGAGTTGCAGCAAGTTTTAAGATCAGCAAACTCTCGAGGTTTGCGAAGGGAGCACGTAAGCACAGGGAGCTGTCCAAGAGAATGATTTCGGTCTCGGCTTTCGCTCAGTCGCGTTACTCGGATCAGGTGTACGGGACAGCTCCCAGCATAGTGCAGCGCTGGAGGCGAGCGATGGCCGACCTGTCGAGCAGGAAAAAACACGGCCGTTGCTTGACGACCCTCCTAGCGCTAGAATACGGTACGCAGGATCCAGTATACACAGCAGTTTTTGATGTAGTCAAGATGTGGTTCTCCATTCTAGGTGATTTAAGGGTGAATGTGGAGCGCGTGCAGAGGGGCTGGGGAAGAGTGCTAGCCAATTTAAGCAGCATGGCCCCCAGGCAACGCTGGAGGCGAGTGTGCTCACCCATGGCGGCCACGATCTGTACCATGCTCGATCTAGGTTGGAATCATGAAGGGCCTTGGAGATGGCACAGTGACATCGGAGAGACCTTCGAGGCCCCAGAGGAGATGATCGGGAGAGGCCCTCTCGACAAGTCGCACATTCTTTATGCGTGCATAGCGGACAGTATAGGTAGGAGGCTCTGGGCGAAGGCGGCCAAGAACTCCTGGATGGGAGAAGGGCTGCAACTTGTGCCCGACATGAAGGGCCCCCGTAGACAGTGCCGCATGGCTTTAAAGCGTAGCGATTTTAAGTGGAAGGGCCTTTTGCAGTGCGTCATGACAGGAGCAACATGGTGTAGGCAGAGACTTTTTGAGTATGGCCTGGAGCCTGACCCCGTGTGCCCACGCTGCGGACAGGCTCCAGAAACTGACAAACATCGTTGCTGGGAGTGCCCAGCCAATCAGGAGTTTCAGACGATTTCCAGCGGCATAATTGCAAAAGCGCGAATAGAGTCGGATAGTATGCCCAGCATGTGGATTCGAGGATTGGTGCCATCTACGTGGACTAGCGTCCCAGATCCGACAGACGAAGACATCGGCTATGTTTTTGGTAGGTCAAGCCACCAGGTTTTCGGTGATCCAGGCGTCATCTTTGGAGGAGGAGACGCCAGCGGGGGAAAAGATCCGGATCCCAAGCTGCGCCGAGTGGCCTGGACCTCTGCTACCCTATGCGGATTCCGTGAGGACGGGAGTTACGATGTGGGTGAGTTGAGGTCGGGGCACTTGCAAGGAGGGAATTTGCCAGGCTTTTTTCAGACAGTAAACCGTGGTGAAGCCACGGCATTGCTAGAGTTTGCAGCTGCAGTCCTTCCGCTGGCGCACGCAATATATGTGACGGACTCAGAGTATGTCATGCGGGGAGTCGAGAAGCTAAAAGTAGGCAAGCTTCCTGACACGCATGTGGATGTCTGGCGGCGTCTTGGAGAGACGCTGGCGAAGAACCCAAGCAGAGGAATTCGCGTGCTGAAGGTGGAGAGCCACCTTAATGCGGAGGAGGCGATCGAACAGAGAGTTGATCCTGCCACCCTCTTTGTCAACGCTATCGCGGACACCGCAGCGAGCAGACCTTCTGAGGAGTTCAGAGTTTCGTTTGCGGACAGGTGCAGGGTGGAAATGGCAACGGCAGTAGGCTTTTCGGTCAGGAAACATTTAGCCAAAGTCCTAGAGAATGTGATTGAGACGGTGCCCAGGCATCAGCCCAGTAGGAGAGCCCTGTCTGAGAGAAGAAAGAGGGAAGAGCGCAGTATCCAGATCACAGAGCACAATGGTGCACACATCCTAGGCTCCAGAGTGAGATGCAGGGAGTGTGGAGGATCCGCGCCGAGGAGAGAGTTGAATCGTTTCCTTGACACTCCCTGTGTGAAGAGTTTCATGAGAGACGTGGTGCTCTCACCAGCGGGAAGACAGGTCTTCAACGGCCGCGAGCTGCATGTTTCACACGCAATCGGAGTCCATCAGATGTATGGGACTTTGATATGTTTGAAATGCGGGTTCTATGCCCAGAAGGGGGCGAGGAACCTCATTCTTCCCTGCCAGGGCCGACCGACAGCTCACGGGAAACGGGCCCTGCGCAGGCTTCCGAAAGGTGAAGTACCAGCTGTGCGGTCAAGAGAGACCGACAGAGTTACAGCGGAGAATTAGTAACAGGTTGAGCCAATGGCTGGAAACAGAGAGAGAGAGAGAAAAAAAAAAATACTTATATACATATATATATATATATTATTTTTTTATATATATATATATAAAAAAAAAAAAAAAAAAAAAAAAAAAAAAAAAAAAAAAAAAAAAAAAAAAAAAAAAAAAAAAAAAAAAAAAAAAAAAAAAAAAAAAAAAAAAAAAAAAAAAAAACGAGCCCAAAGGGAAGCATACACAGAGGAAGACACATGGGGGGACACAGGGGGACACATAGGGGACACACGGGGACACATGGGGGACACATGGGGAACACAGGGGAGACACATGGGGGGCGCAGGGGTGACAGAGGGGGACACATGGGAACACGAAGGGGACCCAGGGGGACAGAGGGGGGCACAGGGGGGACAGAGGGGGACAGAGGGGGACACAGGGGGGACACAGGAGGGACACAAGGGGGACACAGGGGGACACATGGGGGACATATGGGGGCAAGCGTAATTTGAGGCAAATCTGCCGACAAAAACTATAAAAACAAAGAAGCTGGAGCACTGCCGGCAGAAACGTTCAGAAACTGTTGGAAGAGTCAAAAGGGAAGCTTCCATTGAGATTGCAAGCTTTCCCTGTGGACGCTTCTCTTCGGATTCGGACGGCTTCCTTCGGGATCTTTGGTTTTGTATTATTAGGTTGTTCCTATGGTTCTCCTAAGGTTTCTGCCAGCAGTACTTCAGTTCCTGTGCTGTGTTCGGTTTGTCCTGGTGTTTATTTGGCTTTCCAGCGCCATTCTCCTGCCCCCCCTGAGGAGGAGAAAGACCATGAGGAGGAGGAAGATGAGGGCAGTGACGATTCAGCCAGCCGCGCCGACGACGCTTCAAACAAGCGGCTGGCAGCCTGCTTGAAATATCAGCCATCGTTAGAAGGAGGATGAGGACGAGGAGGAGGAGGCGGAGGAGAATGAAAATGAAGAGGAGGGCCAGGAGGAAGAGAAAGGAGCGTGCAAATCAAAGAAAAGTTCCCATTGAGAATGCCAGATTTCCCTTCGGACGCTTGCCTTCGGGTTTGGGCGGTTTCATCTGGGATCTGTGTTGTTTGTTTTGAGGAGGGTTCCACTGGTTTTCCTAAAGCTTCTGCCGCCAGAACTTCAGTGTCATTGGTGTTTGTGGTTGGTCCTTGTGCTTGGTTGGTTTTCCAGCGCCGTCCTCATCCCCCATCCCCCCTGAGGAGGAGGACAACGAGGATGAGGATGATGAGGGCAGTGACGATGCAGCCAGCCGCGCGGACGACGCTTCAAACAAACGGCTGGCAGCCTACTTGAAACATCAGCCGCCGTTACAAGGAGGACGAGGAGGAGGAGGAGGAGGGAGGAGGAGAATGAGGAGGAGGGCCAGGATGAGGAGGAAGGGGCGTGCGAGAAAATGCAAAAACAAACCAAAGCTTCCATTGAGAATGCCAGATTTCCCGTCGGACGCTTCCCTTCGGGTTTGGGCGACTTCATCTGGGATCTTGCTCTTTGTTTGTTTTTGTCCATGGTTTTCCTAACGACGCTAGGACAACCACGGGATGTACTGCCGACAGAAGCGTTAAACGTTTCTGCCCGCAGTATTTTTTGGAAGTTCCTCCCGACTGTACTTAACTTATTTTCTTGTGTTTGTTTCGTTTTTGTGTGTGTGTGTGTTTGGCTTTCCAGCGCCATCCTCCTGCCCCGCTGAAGGAGAGGAAGACCGTGAGGAGGAGGAAGATGAGGGCAATGACGATTCAGCCTTCCGCGCCGACGACGCCTCGAACAAACGACCGGCAGCCTGCCTGAAACGTCAGCCGCCGTTTGAAGGAGTACGAGGAGAAAGAGGAGACTCGAGAGGAGGGCCAGGAGGAGGAGGAAGGGGGGAGGAGGGGATAAAATGTCAAAAAAAAAGGCATGGGGCGGTTGTAGCCTCTGAGCCTCGGGCCCTTACGAGCCATCAAGGACCACAAACCTTGGACCCCGCAGAGCTGCACGAGCCTTCGGGCACTCCACTACGTACCGAAGGCGCAGTGGCAGATTCGAGCATACGTCATCATACGTCTCTCCCTCCCTTTCCCTCCCTTTCCCTCTCTCTCTCTCTTTTCCTGTCTTTCCGTCTTGCTCCGTCCCTCCTCGTTCGAAGAATAAGAAATACCATCAACATGAGCTCTTGGCGCTCCGCGCGGACTTCTTGGATCCGCGCTGGGGCCCCCCGGCGGCGCCTCTGGCGCCGCACCGGCGCGCTCCGGCGCGCCAGAGGCGCCGCCGGGGGGGCCCCAGCGCAGATCCGAGAACCCCGCGCGGAGCGCCAAGAGTGTGTGTTCATGGCAGCTCCTCTTCTTCTCCTTGTGCCCCGCTGGGGCATGTCGCGCCGATGCGGCGCACGTCCACGCGGTGCCAGGCATGGGCGGGCGGCACCAGGCGCCACCGCGCCTCCGCCGGCTGCGGCCCTCGGCCGCCCTCTGACGGTCGCTGCCCTGCTGGCGGCCCAGGGCGCCCTGGCGGCAGCCGGAGGCCCGCACGGCGCAGTCCCGGAGGGCTACAACCTCGAAGAAGTGCCGACGCCCTTGGGGCCAGGTGGGGATGCGGTGGAGCTCGAGGCCTCAGGGGAGGAATTGGGTACCTATACGCCGCTGCCCTGCCCTCGTGTTCGCCTTCTCGGGCCTCCTGGGAGGCCCTCGGTCGCCACGGCTGGCGTCGCTTCCGAATCCTGGTCGGAGAGGTGATGTGGCGGTATCGGCACCTTATGGACTTCCCGAGGTTGGTGTTAATTCTTTCCCATACGACTTCCCCAAGCCAGACTGCATTGCTGGCAAGATTGAGCTCCCTCTGCGTGTGTGGATCTACTGGTATGACCCTCGCTTGGTTTTCCCAGTGGAGGTCTCGAATAGGACAGGTGTGGCGGGCTCTTCTGTTTCGATTGACCCGGGCGCAATTTGGACACCAGATTTGGAGGTCTCTGAGAGGATGGGGCAACAGGAGTGCACAGAGGGGCCGGCCGTATTGTACGATCTGGCTTTTTCCGAGCAGCATCCTTTGGTAGATCGCGGCTTCAAATACAACGTGATGTGGCCCCGGTCGTGCACCATGACGACGAGGTGCGATTGCAACTTGGTGAATTTCCCTTTCGACGAGCACACTTGCAACATCACGTGGACACCCATCGCAGAAAGGGGCTACAAGGTCGTCGACGCAGGGCACCTCCCCGACGTCTCGACAGTGCCCAGGCTCGCCGACGGGTCCGGGGACTACAAGATGGGCCCAAAGATAGACTCTGTGGAGTTCACATACTGGTTCCTCACAGACCTCGGCGGCGAGCGAGGGGGAGAAGTGAGAAAGACAAGGCCCTCTCAGAAGGCGGTGGGACTTCTCGGAAGCCCTCGCGCCTTCTGAGAGGTTTTCTGCGTCGTCGGGGAAGGCTTGGGAAACTTCTCAGAAGGCCGGGGGACTTCCGAGCCTTCTGAGAAGACCTTCTCCTTCTCGCTTCCCCCCGGGGCTCGCCGCCGACAGACAGCTCACCGACAGTTCAGTATTTCGACAGGATCGCGCCCAAATTCCACACCCTCGGGGAGCGGCAAGCAAACAGAAAGCTCATCCATTTTCAGCGAGCGCCAGAGTACTTCGTTGTGAATTTCCTGTGTCCCACGATGATTTTAGTGTTCATGGAGTGGTTCACATTCCTCGTATCAAAGACGCCTGTGGCGAATCACCTCCGCCCCGTGTTTTTATGAAACGTCTAGGTGGCCGACTGTTGAGCCAAAGGTTGGCCCAGGCTACTAGAGTTTGTGTTCCCCCAGCCGTTGTGGAAGCCCCATGTGGGGACACTAAAACTAGGTTCTGGTAGTCCTGGGCTTCGTATAGCCCTGTCTTGGCGGCCGACTTGTGCACCTGTTGGTTGTTTGGGGGGCCTCTCGTGGCTCACATCCGTACCCCTGACCCACCCGGATAGCCTCCCTGGCCCGACCCCGCCACACCTTTTCGATGCCCCCAGCTGCTAGGAGAGTCGGTGTAAACTCTTCAGGGAGCTTGTGGCCAGGTGACCTGTCATGTCCTCCAGATTCCGTCTAAGAATACAAAGAATATTGACTTCACCCCAGGCGTCTTCTTGTAGCTGTTTTGTATACTTCTCGTACATCTGGACCTAGACTACTGCTTGAGAAAACGCTTGGGGTGGAGTCAAAGTTATTAGCTTATAATACTCCTACCTCTAAGTCAGGCGTCTATTGTACCCAACCTGTGGCCATAGTGGCTCACGCGGCCCACACCTCAGGCGGGGGCCTCTGGCACGGGCTCCTGGGTGTGTAGGGCTGCACGCTTTGCCGCCAACTGCCCTGGAGGCAGAGATCCCACCAAGACGGCCCGAACAGGTCTCCCAGAGGGCGCGAAACCATACTGAGCAACACGAAGCTTTCCAGTGATAGTTGCTTGCCGCCTGGTTTGCTCTACTCGTTCTGTTGCTGCGCCTGCTTGGGGCATCTGAGGGGCTATCTAGCGCCTCTTGGGGCCATCTAGTGGCAATCCCGGACAACCTGTGGACCATCATGGGGCCTTGTTGGGAGATCTTGTCTTGGACTCTTCGGGCCTCCTTGGGGGCCGTCTGGCGGCATTCTTAATCGCAGAGTCAGCCTGGGGCAGCCAGGGAGGTACGATTATCCCATGAATGAGCCTGCGACGTTTTAAGTCGTATGCTTCTGAGTACACAGCAGAGGGGGACAAGACTGAAGAGGCACTGGCAGGATGTCAGTCCAGCATACCCTCGCGGCCCGGTGCCCCACATAGGGTGGGGACCGGCGGACCCTTGGAGAAAGCCGACAGAGTTGCATATGGAGTCACGCTGCTCCTTGCCAACATCGCCACGCAGTTCATCACAGCAGACAGGAGGCCGCCGGAAAAAAGTAACACGTGGATCGATTTGTTTTCGGCAGCGTCTTTGATTCTCATTGTTTATCCGATTCTGATCACTGTGATCCTCTTGCGGTATTCGGAGTTCCTTGGCCGCAAGGTCCGGAACATCACAGACCCTGAAAAGAAGGAGGCGTATGAAAGCCACGTGAACGGGCTCATAGCGGGTGTTGACCGTGTTAGCCGGCTCTCGTATCCGATCATCGTAGTAGTAGTTTACGCGTACGTGTTCACCACCCCTCAATATGGTTCGCGCGACAAGACAGCCGAATTGTTGGATCCGCTCGTCGTGAAATTGATCCTTTTCGTATTCGTCGTCCCTACGACAATGTTACTCATGTGGTTCAGCATCACATCCCTTGTCATGAACGGGAGTGGCATTCCCGATCGAAAATATGTCCTAGACCTCATGTTGGACAGAGAGCTGTCAGATGATGGTGATGAACTTCGTGAGAATACCTCAGAAGACGGTGATGGAGAACAACTAGAGCGGAAGCTGATCCATGATGAGATGGGCTCTCAGGCGTGATAAGTTGCTAGTATTATGCACTTGCACTTTCAGTGAAAATAATATGCCTTGGCAAGTGCTCTTCGATTACATGCAGGGCTTCGCCCCCCGCCGCCGGCCACTCCTCCGATTGCGCGCATGGCTACGCTTGCTCGGTTGATGAACTTGTTGGCTTGTCCGGCGGCCGATTGGCAACTCGGCTGATTGGCCTGTTGTCTAAATAGATGGTTGGCAGTTGGTTTTGGCTGGTTGGCTGGTTGGCTGGCTGCGCGCATCTGTAAGAAATTGATCCGCGGTGGTGGCCTCGGGAGCGCGCTCCCACGGCAGTTTTCAAGGCTCGCGCCTTCGGAAGCGCGCATCCCGCGCCATTTTAGTAAAATTCGTGGCCTCGGGTTCAGGGCCGAATATTCAGGAAACGACGGGGGAGCCGAAAAGCGCTCCCCGAACACAGATCCCAACACAGAACATGATAGTTGTTCTCCTCTGGAGATGAAGCGTTGCTGGGTAGTTTTCGTGTTCGTGGCCTGCGGAGCACAAATCTGCAGCAAATCGCTAGGTCGTGTTGCTTCAGGACGCGAATTCGCAGTGATTTGGCAGTGACCGTTTCTTCAGGAGCGCGAAAGCGTGATAACTTATAATGAGCTGTGGGCTCAGGAATGCGATCCCGCCGTAACTCTCGACTGATAGTAGCATCTGGGGCGCGCATGTGATGTAATGCACCAAAGGCTGCGGATTCGAAGGCACGAATCCGTTGTGATGTGCAATGGGGGGTGGTCTCGAAGACGCAAAGGTGTTGCAAGTTTCAATGGGCTGTGGCTTCGGGAGCGCGAACGCGGTGTAATGTACAAGGGCCTCTCCTTTTGGAACGCGAATTCGCCGTAGTTCGCACAAGCTTGTGACCTCGGAGACACCATTTTGCGAGCCCGCCGCACTGAATATGAGGCACCGTGGCCTCGGGAACGCGAGCTCGTCGTGATCCGCGGTAACTGGCCAGGGCTTGTGGCGTCGGGAGCGCGAGCTCGTTATTGTTTGCAAAAGGTTGTGGCCTCGGGGACGCGAACTTGGCATCATTCGTTTCAACCGAATGCGGCCTCGGGGGCGCGAACCCGCCGCATTTTGTAATGGAATACGGCCTCGGGAGCGCGAGCCCGTTGTGACTTCCTGAGGGTAGTGGCCTCAGAAGCGCGTGCTTGAAGACAAAGTCACAGCCTCGAGGGAACAAATATGTAGTGTTTGTACGTCCCCGCGCCCCCAGAAATTCTGAGGATGTGATTCCGACATGGTAATAAATTGCTTTTCGGGCCCGGGTCCTCGCGCAAATTTTGATCATTTCAGGATCCGAACCAGACGCCCGAAATTATAGCATTGGGAATTGGGATTGCTGCAAGGAATAGGAACACCTATGCATCGTAGATTGTCAGCCCCCCAGAAGGGCCCGCGGATCCCACATGCCGCGTTCCACACTCCTTTCCATCATCATGTTCCCCCTTTTACGCCTCCTCGCCGAGATGCGCCCAATCCGGCGGGTCGCACACGTCGGCATGACGACAATATTGTTGCGCAGTCAGATACATCCATGCACGCGGGTTGAGCTTGGCGCGTTTGGAACTTTGCTGCATCGACCACGTGCGCATGCGGAGAGACGTGTGCGCAAGGCGAGAGGCCAGGTGTTGAGGGCGAGGCCGCCCTGTGGGTCTAGCCAACAGACAGCATAGTATCTTGCTAATGCACATAAGCGGGTGTAGATGATCACGCTTGCAGACATGCGCGTCTGTGGATGCACACATGTGCACTTACTGGCCAGAACGTATCGGCCAGAGATGTGTTGATGTGAACGATTCCGAGTGATAGCAGCCCGGACGCGGTTACTTCACTCCTCCTCCCTCCTCCCCCTCCTCCCTGCGTTTCACCGACCCAGTACAGCGCTTCGTGGTCCCATTGGGAGCTCCACCGAAGGTCCAAGTGCTACCGAGTGCAGGCGTCCCGAACACCCAGTACAGCGCTTCGTCGCCCCATAGGGAGCTCCACCGAAGGTCCCAGTGCTACCGTCCGCATGCGTCCCGCACACCCAGTACAGCGCTTCGTGGCCCCATAGGGAGCTCCACCGAAGCACCCAGTGGGACCGTCCGCATGCGCCCCCCAATCCCAATTTGGCATTTTCACCCACTCAGTACAGCGCTTCGTGGCCCCATAGGGAGCTCCACAGAAGCCCCCAGGCAGTCCGCATGCGTCCCTGAAACCCAACTTGGCATTTTCACCCACCCAGTCCATCGCTTCCTGGCCCCATAGGGAGCTCCACCGAAGCCCCCCGTGGGACAGTTCGCATGCGTCCTTGAAACCCAAATGTGGCATTTTTTACCCACCCAGTACAGCGCTTCGTGGCCTCATAAGGAGCTCAACCGAAACCCCCAGTGGGACCGTCCGCATGCGTCCCAGAAACCCAATTTGGCATTTTCACCCACCCAGCACAGCGCTTCGTGGCCCCAGAGGGAGCTCCAACGAAGCACCCAGTGGGACCGTCCGCATGCGTCCCAGAAACCCAATTTGGCATTTTCACCCACCCAGTACAGCGCTTCGTGGCCCCATAGGGAGCTCCACCGAAGCCCCCAGTGGGACCGCCCGCACGCATCCCACACACACACACACACACACACACACACACAACACACACACACACACACACACATTTGGAATTTTCACCCACCCAGTACAGCGCTTCGTGGCCCCATAGGGAGCTCCACCGAAGCCCCCAGTGGGACCGCCCGCATGCGTCCCAGAAACCCAATTTGGCATTTTCACCCACCCAGTACAGCGCTTCGTGGCCCCATAGGGAGCTCCACCGAAGCCCCCAATGAAACCGCCCGCATGCGCCCCAGAAACCCAGTTTGGCATTTTCACCC